GCTAGCGTAGCTTAATTAAAGCATGACACTGAAGATGTTAAGATGAGCCCTAGAAAGCTCCGCAGGCACAAAGGCTTGGTCCTGACTTTATTGTCAACTTTAGCTAAACTTACACATGCAAGTATCCGCACACCCGTGAGAATGCCCCACAGTCCCCTGCCCGGGGACAAGGAGCTGGTATCAGGCACATTCTATTTGAGCCCATGACACCTTGCTTAGCCACACCCTCAAGGGAACTCAGCAGTGATAAACATTAAGCCATAAGTGAAAACTTGACTTAGTCAAAGCTAAGAGGGCCGGTAAAACTCGTGCCAGCCACCGCGGTTATACGAGAGGCCCAAGTTGACAAACCCCGGCGTAAAGAGTGGTTAAGAAAAATTTAAAACTAAAGCCGAATGCCCTCAAAGCTGTTATACGCACCCGAAGGTAAGAAGCCCAATCACGAAAGTGGCTTTACATTTCCTGAACCCACGAAAGCTATGAAACAAACTGGGATTAGATACCCCACTATGCCTAGCCTTAAACATCGATGGCAACTTACACCTGCCATCCGCCTGGGAACTACGAGCATTAGCTTAAAACCCAAAGGACTTGGCGGTGCTTTAGATCCACCTAGAGGAGCCTGTTCTAGAACCGATAACCCCCGTTCAACCTCACCTTTCCTTGTTTTTCCCGCCTATATACCACCGTCGTCAGCTTACCCTGTGAAGGTCTAATAGTAAGCAAAATTGGCACAACCCAAAACGTCAGGTCGAGGTGTAGCGTATGGAAAGGGAAGAAATGGGCTACATTCCCTTATACAGGAAATACGGACGATAAACTGAAATGTTTTTCCAAAGGAGGATTTAGCAGTAAGCAGAAAATAGAGTGTTCTGCTGAAAATGGCCCTGAAGCGCGCACACACCGCCCGTCACTCTCCCCAAGCCCAAGAACTTTAGTAATTAAAACCATACAATCGCAAAGGGGAGGCAAGTCGTAACATGGTAAGTGTACCGGAAGGTGCACTTGGTTAAATCAGAGTATAGCTAAGACAGAAAAGCATCTCCCTTACACTGAGAAGTCATCCGTGCAAATCGGATTACCCTGACGCCCAATAGCTAGCCCCCCCAACCAAAAACAATTAATCACCATTAATAACCCCAAACACACTAGTGTTAAACTAAACAAAACATTTTCCCACCTCAGTACGGGCGACGGAAGAGGAACAGACGGCGCAATAGAGAAAGTACCGCAAGGGAACGCTGAAAGAGAAATGAAATAACCCAGTAAAGCCCTAAGAAGCAGAGATTTTAACTCGTACCTTTTGCATCATGATTTAGCTAGTAATACCCAGGCAAAGAGAACTTTAGTCTGACCCCCCGAAACTAAGTGAGCTACTCCAAGGCAGCCTATTAATAGGGCACACCCGTCTCTGTGGCAAAAGAGTGGGAAGAACTTTGAGTAGGGGTGACAGACCTACCGAACCTAGTTATAGCTGGTTGTCTGAGAAATGAATAGGAGTTCAGCCTCGCAGCTTCTTCACTCACCCCTGTCCTACTCCCTACAGACCTTTTAAGAAACCGCGAGAGTTAGTCAAAGGGGGTACAGCCCCTTTGAAAAAGATACAACTTTCCCAGGTGGGTAAAGATCATAATAACTTAAAGTAAAATGCTTTGGTGGGCCTAAAAGCAGCCATCCCCTTAGAAAGCGTTAAAGCTCAGGCATATCAATTACCTCATTATTCTGATAATTTATCTTAACCCCCTAATTTTACCAGACCGCCCCATGCAACCATGGGAGAGACCATGCTAATATGAGTAATAAGAGGGCCGGACCCTCTCCCTGCACACGTGTAAATCGGAACAGACCAACCACCGAACCCTAACGGTCCCAAACAAAGAGGGTAATGAAAGACAGATTAAACAACAAGAAGAGTCTTCAAATTTTAACCGTTAACCCCACACTGGTGTGCCCCCCGGGAAAGACTAAAAGAAAAAGAAGGAACTCGGCAAATACATGAAGCCTCGCCTGTTTACCAAAAACATCGCCTCTTGCAAATAAAGAATAAGAGGTCCCGCCTGCCCTGTGACTATAAGTTTAACGGCCGCGGTATTTTGACCGTGCGAAGGTAGCGCAATCACTTGTCTTTTAAATGAAGACCTGTATGAATGGCATAACGAGGGCTTAACTGTCTCCTTTTTCAAGTCAATGAAATTGATCTCCCCGTGCAGAAGCGGGGATAAGACCATAAGACGAGAAGACCCTGTGGAGCTTTAGACGCCAAGGTAAATCATGTTAAACATCCCGAAACAAAGGGCTAAACCAAATGAAAATTACCCCTATGTCTTTGGTTGGGGCGACCGCGGGGAAACACAAAACCCCCATGTGGAATGGGACTACTCCCTCCTACAACTCAGAGCCTCCGCTCTAATGAACAGAATTTCTGACCAGCAAGATCCGGCAACGCCGATCAACGAACCGAGTTACCCCAGGGATAACAGCGCAATCCCCTTTTAGAGTCCATATCGACAAGGGGGTTTACGACCTCGATGTTGGATCAGGACATCCTAATGGTGCAGCCGCTATTAAGGGTTCGTTTGTTCAACGATTAAAGTCCTACGTGATCTGAGTTCAGACCGGAGTAATCCAGGTCAGTTTCTATCTATGCTATGATTTTTTCTAGTACGAAAGGACCGAAAAAAAGAGGCCCATGCTTCAAGTATGCCTCACCCCCACCTAATGAAGACAACTAAAATAGGCAAAAGGGCATGCCCCCCTTTGCCTGAGATTAAGGCATGTTAAGGTGGCAGAGCCCGGTTACTGCAAAAGACCTAAGCCCTTTCTACAGAGGTTCAAATCCTCTCCCTAACTATGATCTCAACACTCATCACCCACATCATCAATCCCCTAGCCTTCATTGTACCTATCCTCCTAGCTGTTGCCTTCCTAACCCTTCTCGAACGGAAAGTTCTGGGCTATATACAATTACGAAAAGGCCCAAACATTGTAGGCCCATACGGCCTCCTTCAACCCATCGCCGATGGGGTAAAACTATTTATTAAGGAACCAGTCCGCCCCTCAACCTCCTCCCCAATTCTATTTATCTTAACACCCATATTAGCCCTAACCCTGGCCCTCACATTATGAGCCCCTATACCTCTGCCCCATCCCGTAACAGACCTCAACCTAGGCATCCTTTTTATCCTAGCCTTATCTAGCCTTGCTGTATACTCAATTTTAGGCTCAGGATGAGCATCAAATTCTAAGTATGCCCTCATCGGGGCCCTACGGGCCGTAGCCCAGACTATTTCATATGAAGTTAGCCTTGGGCTAATCCTCTTAAATACCATTATTTTCACGGGGGGTTTTACTCTTCAAACCTTCAACGTAGCCCAAGAAAGCATCTGACTAATTTTTCCAGCCTGACCCCTAGCTGCCATATGATATATTTCAACCCTGGCCGAAACTAACCGCGCCCCTTTCGATTTAACTGAGGGCGAGTCTGAACTAGTCTCAGGTTTTAATGTAGAGTACGCAGGAGGGCCCTTTGCCCTCTTTTTCCTGGCAGAATATGCCAACATTTTACTTATAAATACACTTTCTGCCACACTTTTCCTAGGGGCCTCCCACATTCCCACGATCCCAGAACTTACCACCATTAACCTAATAACCAAAGCTGCCCTCCTCTCAGTTATATTCCTATGAGTTCGAGCATCCTACCCCCGATTTCGCTATGACCAGCTCATGCACTTAATTTGAAAAAACTTCCTACCCCTTACACTAGCCTTAGTCATTTGACACTTGGCCCTTCCTATTGCACTTGCAGGTCTACCGCCTATACTCTAACCCCGGAGTTGTGCCTGAAGTTAAGGATCACTTTGATAGAGTGAATTATGGGGGTTAAAGTCCCCCCGACTCCTTAGAAAGAAGGGGTTTGAACCCTACCCGGAGAGATCAAAACTCTCAGTGCTTCCACTACACCACTTTCTAGTAAAGTCAGCTAATTAAGCTTTTGGGCCCATACCCCAAACATGTTGGTTAAACCCCTTCCTTTACTAATGAACCCGTACATCTTAGCCACCCTACTATTTGGTTTAGGCCTGGGGACCACAATTACATTTGCAAGCTCCCACTGACTCCTTGCCTGAATAGGACTTGAAATAAATACCCTAGCCATCATCCCCATTATGGCCCACCTCCACCACCCACGGGCAGTAGAAGCCACCACCAAATACTTTCTCACCCAAGCCACTGCAGCTGCCATACTTCTTTTTGCTAGCACTACTAACGCTGGGCTCACAGGACAATGAGATATTCAACAAATAACCCACCCCCTCCCCGTTACTATAATTACCCTCGCCCTAGCACTAAAAATTGGGCTTGCCCCCGTACACTCCTGACTTCCAGAAGTACTTCAAGGACTGGATCTCACCACAGGCTTAATCCTATCAACCTGACAAAAACTTGCCCCTTTTGCCCTTCTCCTTCAAATTTACCCCGCAAACTCAACCCTCCTTATTATTCTAGGCCTGCTATCAACACTAGTGGGAGGCTGAGGGGGCCTAAACCAAACCCAGCTCCGAAAAATCCTTGCCTATTCCTCCATCGCCCATCTTGGATGAATAATCCTCATCCTACAATTTTCCCCCTCCCTAACCCTTCTAGCTCTCCTTACATACCTCGTCATGACATTCTCAACATTCCTTGTATTTAAACTTAATAAATCAACCAATATTAATACCCTCGCCATTTCTTGAGCTAAGATACCCGCACTTACTTCTCTAACTCCCCTTATCTTGCTGTCATTAGGAGGCCTCCCCCCACTGACAGGCTTTATGCCAAAATGACTGATTCTGCAAGAACTCACTAAACAGGAACTCCCCACCACAGCAACTTTAGCAGCACTTACCGCCCTTCTCAGCCTTTACTTCTACCTACGACTCTCCTACGCCATAGCATTGACTATGCCCCCCAATAACCTTGCTGGTGTTACACCCTGACGTCTCCCATCTGCACAACTCACGCTTCCTCTCGCTGTTACAACCACAATAACCCTAGCACTCCTCCCCCTTACCCCAGCCATTACTGCAACACTCACTCTTTAAGGAACTTAGGTTAGCACAAGACCAAGGGCCTTCAAAGCCCTAAGCGGGAGTGAAAACCTCCTAGTCCCTGATTAAGCTTGCGGGACATTACCCCACATCTCCTGCATGCAAAACAGACACTTTAATTAAGCTAAAGCCTTACTAGACGAGTAGGCCTCGATCCTACAAACTCTTAGTTAACAGCTAAGCGCCCAAACCAGCGAGCATTCGTCTAGCTTTCCCCCGCCTGTCCGGTGACAAAGGCGGGGGAAAGCCCCGGCAGGCGTTAGCCTACTTCTTTAGATTTGCAATCTAATATGATGAACACCTCGGGGCTTGGTAAGAAGAGGACTTAAACCTCTGTACATGGGGCTACAATCCACCGCTTAAAGCTCAGCCATCCTACCTGTGGCAATCACACGTTGATTTTTCTCGACCAATCACAAAGATATCGGCACCCTCTATTTAGTATTTGGTGCTTGAGCCGGAATAGTGGGCACAGCCCTGAGTCTGCTAATTCGTGCAGAACTTAGCCAACCGGGCGCTCTTCTGGGAGACGACCAGATCTACAATGTAATTGTTACGGCACATGCATTTGTAATAATTTTCTTTATAGTAATGCCCATTATAATTGGAGGTTTTGGTAACTGACTTGTGCCCCTAATGATCGGCGCCCCCGACATAGCATTCCCTCGAATAAACAACATAAGTTTTTGACTCCTTCCCCCTTCCTTCCTTCTCCTGCTCGCCTCTTCCGGTGTCGAAGCCGGGGCTGGCACTGGGTGGACTGTTTACCCCCCTCTTGCCGGCAACCTAGCCCATGCAGGAGCATCCGTCGACCTAACCATCTTCTCTCTTCACCTTGCTGGTGTCTCCTCTATTCTAGGGGCAATCAATTTTATTACCACAATTATTAATATAAAACCCCCAGCCATCTCCCAGTACCAAACACCCCTCTTTGTCTGATCCGTCCTAATTACTGCTGTCCTACTTCTTCTGTCACTTCCAGTCCTCGCTGCGGGCATTACAATGCTCCTTACAGACCGAAACCTCAACACCACCTTCTTCGACCCCGCAGGAGGAGGAGACCCCATTCTTTACCAGCACTTATTCTGGTTCTTTGGCCACCCAGAGGTTTATATTCTTATCCTCCCAGGGTTCGGGATGATTTCACATATTGTCGCCTACTACTCCGGGAAAAAGGAGCCTTTTGGTTACATGGGTATAGTTTGAGCCATGATAGCAATTGGCCTTTTAGGATTTATCGTCTGGGCCCATCACATATTTACTGTCGGAATGGATGTGGACACGCGTGCCTACTTTACATCTGCAACAATGATTATTGCAATTCCAACCGGTGTGAAAGTCTTTAGTTGACTTGCGACACTGCACGGGGCCTCCATCAAATGAGAAACACCCCTCCTATGGGCCCTTGGCTTTATTTTCCTTTTTACAGTAGGGGGGCTAACCGGTATCGTACTTGCCAACTCCTCCCTAGACATTGTCCTGCATGACACATACTACGTAGTTGCCCACTTCCACTACGTCCTCTCGATAGGAGCCGTATTTGCCATTGTTGCAGCATTCGTCCACTGATTCCCCCTGTTCTCAGGATACACCCTCCACAGCACCTGAACAAAAATCCACTTCGGAATTATATTTATTGGCGTCAATCTTACTTTCTTCCCCCAACATTTCCTAGGTCTGGCAGGCATGCCTCGGCGATACTCAGACTACCCTGATGCCTACACTCTTTGAAACACCGTTTCCTCTGTTGGCTCCCTAATTTCACTCGTTGCAGTAATCATATTCTTATTTATTATTTGAGAAGCATTTGCTGCAAAACGGGAAGTTTTAGCTGTAGAATTAACCACAACAAACGTTGAGTGACTTCACGGCTGCCCTCCTCCCTACCACACATTCGAAGAACCTGCATTCGTTCAAGTTCAATCAAACTAACGAGAAAGGGAGGAGTCGAACCCCCATGTGTTGGTTTCAAGCCAACCACATAACCGCTCTGTCACTTTCTTCATAAGACACTAGTAAAGTAGTTATTACACTGCCTTGTCAAGGCAAAATCGTGGGTTAAACCCCCGCGTGTCTTACCCCCCCCCTTAATGGCACATCCCTCACAGCTAGGTTTCCAAGATGCAGCTTCACCTGTTATAGAAGAACTCCTTCATTTTCACGACCACGCCCTGATGATCGTCTTTCTAATTAGCACACTAGTACTTTACATTATTGTGGCAATGGTATCCACCAAATTAACAAATAAATATATTCTGGACTCCCAAGAAATTGAAATTATCTGAACCATTCTTCCTGCAATTATTTTAATTCTAATTGCCCTCCCTTCCCTTCGCATCCTCTACCTAATGGACGAAATTAATGACCCCCACCTAACAATCAAGGCCATGGGTCACCAGTGATACTGAAGCTACGAATACACCGACTACGAGGACCTTGGGTTTGACTCCTACATAATTCCCACTCAAGACCTAGCCCCTGGTCAATTTCGCCTCCTTGAAGCTGACCACCGAATGGTTGTCCCAGTAGAATCCCCGATCCGAGTACTAGTGTCTGCTGAAGATGTTCTTCACTCATGAGCAGTGCCCGCCCTCGGCGTAAAAATGGATGCAGTCCCCGGACGCCTAAACCAAACAGCCTTTATCGCATCTCGCCCCGGAGTTTTCTATGGACAATGCTCTGAAATTTGTGGAGCAAACCACAGTTTTATACCCATCGTAGTTGAAGCAGTCCCACTAGAACACTTCGAAAACTGATCATCTCTCATACTTGAAGACGCCTCGCTAAGAAGCTAAACAGGGTGTAGCGTTAGCCTTTTAAGTAAAGATTGGTGGTCCCCAACCACCCCTAGCGACATGCCCCAACTCAACCCCGCACCTTGATTTGCCATTCTAGTCTTTTCGTGACTAATTTTCCTAACCGTCCTTCCTCCTAAAGTCCTAGCACACACTTTCCCTAATGAACCCTCACTCCAAAGCACTGAGACCCCTAAAACAGAGCCCTGAAACTGACCATGACACTAAGCTTTTTCGACCAATTTATGAGCCCCACTTACCTAGGCATCCCTCTAATTGTCCTAGCCCTCAGCCTCCCATGAGTACTCTTCCCCACTCCCTCCTCCCGATGACTAAATAATCGCCTTTTAACCCTTCAGGGTTGATTTGTAAATCGATTTACTCAACAACTCCTCCTACCACTCAACCCGGGGGGTCATAAATGGGCCATCCTATTTACATCCCTAATATTATTCCTCATCACTCTTAATATACTTGGCCTCCTCCCATACACTTTTACACCCACCACTCAACTATCCCTCAACATAGGCCTTGCAGTTCCTCTTTGGTTGGCAACCGTAATTATTGGTATGCGAAATCAACCAACCATTGCCCTAGGACACCTTCTTCCAGAAGGTACCCCCACCCTCCTAATCCCTGTTCTAATTGTTATCGAAACAATTAGCCTATTTATTCGCCCCCTAGCCTTGGGCGTGCGACTAACAGCAAATTTGACAGCCGGACATCTCCTTATTCAATTAATCGCTACTGCCGCCTTCGTACTCCTCCCCCTTATACCCACAGTAGCGATTCTTACTGCAACCCTACTGTTTCTTCTAACCCTTTTAGAGGTTGCCGTGGCAATAATTCAGGCCTACGTCTTTGTTCTTCTTTTAAGCCTCTACCTACAAGAAAACGTTTAATGGCCCACCAAGCACACGCATACCACATAGTTGACCCCAGCCCTTGACCCCTTACAGGCGCAATCGCCGCCCTCTTAATGACATCTGGTCTTGCCATTTGATTTCATTTCAACTCTACCACGCTCCTAGCCCTGGGCTTGGTGCTACTTCTCCTCACAATATATCAGTGATGACGAGACATCATTCGAGAAGGCACTTTCCAGGGCCACCACACACCCCCTGTCCAAAAAGGCCTACGATACGGTATAATTCTGTTTATTACCTCCGAAGTCTTCTTCTTTTTAGGCTTCTTCTGAGCCTTTTATCACGCGAGCCTCGCCCCCACCCCTGAATTAGGCGGATGCTGACCCCCCACGGGTATTACTGTCCTTGACCCTTTTGAAGTACCTCTGCTGAATACAGCAGTCCTTCTCGCCTCCGGAGTAACCGTTACCTGGGCCCATCATAGCATCATAGAGGGTGAACGAAAACAAGCAATTCAATCCCTTATATTAACAATCCTTCTCGGCTTCTATTTTACTGCTCTCCAAGCCATAGAATATTACGAAGCCCCTTTTACAATTGCAGACGGAGTCTACGGTTCAACATTCTTTGTGGCGACCGGTTTCCATGGCCTACACGTCATTATCGGCTCAACTTTCCTCGCCGTATGTTTACTTCGCCAAATTCAATACCATTTCACCTCGGAGCACCACTTCGGATTTGAAGCAGCAGCATGATATTGACACTTTGTAGACGTTGTTTGACTATTCCTGTATATCTCTATCTACTGATGAGGATCGTAATCTTTCTAGTATTAAAGCTAGTACAAGTGACTTCCAATCACCCGGTCTTGGTTAAATTCCAAGGAAAGATAATGAACCTTGTCACAACCATTATTTGCATCGCCGCAGCCCTTTGCATCATCCTCGCTATTATCTCCTTTTGACTCCCGCAAATGAACCCAGACCACGAAAAACTTTCCCCCTACGAGTGCGGCTTCGACCCGCTGGGAAGTGCCCGACTACCTTTCTCACTCCGCTTCTTTCTAGTCGCTATTCTTTTCCTTCTCTTCGACCTAGAGATCGCCCTCCTCCTCCCCCTGCCCTGAGGGGATCAATTAATAAATCCACTAACTACATTCCTTTGGGCCTCGGCTGTCTTAATCCTTCTTACACTGGGGCTTATCTATGAATGAAGCCAAGGAGGCCTCGAATGGGCCGAATAGGCAGTTAGTTTAAGTAAAACACTTGATTTCGGCTCAAAAACTTGTGGTTAAAGTCCACAACCGCCTAATGACCCCTGTTCACTTTGTTTTTTCATCAACCTTCCTCCTGGGCCTCACAGGCCTAGCCCTTCACCGAACCCACCTCCTCTCTGCCCTACTCTGCTTAGAAGGAATGATGTTATCTTTATTTATTGCGCTCTCCCTATGGACACTTCAATTAGACTCAACCAGCTTCTCAGCTGCCCCTATACTCCTGCTAGCTTTCTCAGCTTGCGAAGCAAGCGCTGGCCTTGCCCTACTAGTAGCCACCGCTCGAACCCACGGCTCTGATCGTCTACAAAATCTTAACCTCCTACAATGCTAAAAATTCTGGTCCCTACCCTGATGCTAGTCCCAACAATCTGAATAACCCCTGCCAAATGACTCTGACCCACAACCCTTCTTCATAGTCTAACAATTGCCCTTATTAGCCTAACTTGATTAAAAAATCTATCAGAGACTGGCTGGTCCTCTCTTAACCTCTACATGGCCACAGACCCCCTTTCCACTCCCCTCCTAGTACTAACTTGCTGACTCCTTCCACTCATAATTCTTGCAAGCCAAAATCATACTACCTCTGAGCCCATTAACCGTCAACGCATATTTATTACGCTCCTTACATCCCTACAAGCCTTCCTAATTATGGCCTTTGGCGCCACCGAAATTATTATGTTTTATGTTATATTTGAAGCCACCCTCATCCCCACCTTGTTTCTCATCACCCGATGAGGTAACCAAACAGAACGCCTTAATGCAGGCACCTACTTCCTTTTTTATACCCTAGCGGGCTCACTCCCACTTCTCGTTGCCCTCCTGCTACTTCAAAACAGCACAGGCACCCTCTCCCTATTAACCCTTCAGTACTCCACCCCTCTTTCACTTACAACCTATGCTGATAAACTTTGGTGAGCCGGATGCCTACTAGCCTTCCTAGTTAAGATGCCACTTTACGGGGTCCATCTCTGGCTTCCTAAGGCACATGTAGAAGCCCCAATTGCTGGCTCTATAATCCTCGCTGCCGTCCTCCTTAAACTTGGAGGCTACGGCATGATACGAATGATAATCGTTCTAGAGCCCCTTACCAAGGAACTCAGCTACCCTTTTATTATCTTTGCACTCTGAGGAGTAATCATAACAGGCTCAATCTGTTTACGCCAAACGGACCTAAAGTCCCTAATCGCCTACTCCTCCGTCGGTCACATGGGCCTAGTTGTTGGGGGCATTCTCATTCAGACCCCCTGAGGCTTTACAGGAGCCCTTATTCTTATAATTGCACATGGACTTACGTCCTCTGCCCTATTCTGCCTTGCAAACACAAACTACGAGCGTACACACAGCCGAACCATGGTCTTAGCCCGAGGCTTACAAATTGCCCTCCCCTTGATGACATCCTGATGATTTATTGCCAGCCTAGCAAACCTAGCTCTCCCTCCCTTACCTAACCTAATAGGTGAGCTAATGATTATTACCTCCCTATTCAACTGATCCTGGTGAACCTTAGCCCTTACAGGAGCCGGAACATTAATTACTGCCGGCTATTCACTTTATATGTTTCTCATAACACAACGAGGCCCCCTCCCCGCACACATTATTGCACTAGACCCCTCCCACTCCCGAGAACATTTACTTATGGCCCTCCATCTTCTCCCCCTCCTGCTCCTAGTCCTCAAGCCGGAACTAATCTGAGGGTGAGCCGCCTGTAGATATAGTTTAACAAAAACATTAGATTGTGATTCTAAAGACAGGGGTTAAATCCCCCTTATCCACCGAGAGAGGCTCGCTAGCAACGGAAACTGCTAATTTCCGCCACCTTGGTTGAACCCCTAGGCTCACTCGAGCCGCTCCTAAAGGATAACAGCTCATCCGTTGGTCTTAGGAACCAAAAACTCTTGGTGCAAATCCAAGTAGCAGCTATGCATCCCACCTCACTCGTGATAACATCCAGCTTAATTACTATCTTCTTCCTCCTAACATTCCCCGTACTTACAACCCTAGCACCCCGCCCCCCAGAGCCCACCTGGGCCCTCTCCCATGTGAAAACAGCAGTAAAGCTGGCCTTCTTTACAAGCCTCCTTCCTCTTGCCCTATTCCTTAACGAAGGTGCAGAAACTGTTATTACTAACTGGTCCTGGATAAACACCCTAACATTTGACATTAATATCAGCCTAAAGTTTGATCTTTACTCCGTCATCTTTACCCCCGTTGCCCTATACGTTACTTGATCTATTCTTGAATTTGCATCTTGATATATGCACACCGACCCATACATAAACCGTTTCTTCAAATACCTGTTGATCTTTCTCATTGCCATAATTATTTTAGTGACAGCCAATAATATATTTCAATTTTTTATCGGCTGAGAAGGTGTGGGTATCATGTCCTTTCTTCTTATCGGCTGATGATACGGCCGAGCAGACGCAAACACCGCCGCTCTTCAAGCAGTCCTCTATAACCGAGTTGGAGATGTAGGCCTAATTTTTGCCATAGCTTGAATGGCCACAAACTTCAATTCTTGGGAAATCCAACAAATATTCATTACTGCTAATAATTTTGATCTCACTTTTCCCCTATTGGGGTTAATTATTGCCGCCACTGGTAAATCGGCCCAGTTTGGACTTCATCCTTGGCTTCCCTCTGCCATAGAGGGTCCTACACCGGTCTCTGCCCTACTGCATTCCAGCACCATAGTCGTGGCAGGCATTTTTTTACTCATTCGATTAAGCCCTTTAATAGAGAATAACCAGTTAGCCCTTACCACCTGCCTATGTCTAGGCGCCCTCACCACCCTTTTTACCGCCACTTGTGCCCTCACCCAGAATGATATCAAAAAAATCGTTGCATTTTCTACATCAAGCCAGCTGGGCCTAATGATAGTGACAATCGGACTAAACCAACCCCAACTTGCCTTCCTCCATATCTGCACCCACGCATTCTTTAAAGCCATATTATTCTTATGCTCCGGCTCAATTATCCATAGCCTAAACGACGAACAAGATATTCGAAAAATGGGGGGAATACACCATTTAACCCCCTTCACCTCCTCATGCCTCACCATCGGAAGCCTGGCCTTAACCGGCACCCCCTTCCTAGCAGGCTTCTTCTCTAAAGACGCAATTATCGAAGCACTTAACACATCACACCTAAACGCCTGAGCCCTTGCCCTAACCCTCCTGGCCACCTCCTTCACTGCAATTTACAGCCTCCGCGTTGTATTCTTCGTATCCATAGGACACCCTCGATTTAATTCACTCTCCCCTATCAATGAAAATAACCCAGCAGTAATTAACCCAATTAAACGACTTGCCTGAGGCAGCATCATCGCCGGACTCATTATTACTTCCAATATTACGCCTATAAAAACACCCGTGATATCCATACCCCCCTTACTTAAACTAGCAGCCCTTATCGTGACAATCCTCGGCCTCCTAGTTGCCTTTGAACTAGCCTCCCTTACAACCAAACAACACCAACATGCCCCCCGCTTAGCCCCTCATCACTTCTCCAATATACTAGGCTTTTTCCCAGGGGTTTTCCACCGCCTCATGCCTAAACTTAACTTAATCCTTGGCCAAGCAATTGCCAGCCAACTGATTGACCAAACCTGACTTGAAAAAACAGGCCCTAAGGCAGTAGCCTCCCTCAATACCCCCTTAGCTTCCACAACAAGCAACATTCAACAGGGCATAATCAAGACATACCTCGCCCTCTTTCTCCTCACCCTTGCCCTTGTAACACTCCTACTTACCTCTTAAACCACCCGAAGCGCCCCTCGACTAAGTCCCCGCGTCAACTCTAACACCACAAATAAAGTTAATAACAAAACCCAAGCACCAATAACTAATATTCCTCCACCTGCCGAATATATTAAAGCAACTCCCCCTACATCCCCCCGGACTACTAAAAACCCCCCAAATTCATCGACGCTCACCCAAGAAGCTTCATATCATCCGCCCCAGAAAAACCCAGACACTACCCCTACCGCCACCGCGTACAGCACCATGTAAGCTGCAACAGGTCGACTACCCCAGCTTTCGGGGTAAGGCTCGGCGGCCAAAGCCGCCGAGTACGCAAACACAACTAATATGCCACCCAAATAAATTAAAAAGAGTACCAGAGATAAAAAAGGCCCCCCGTGTCCTACTAACACACCACACCCCATTCCTGCCACTACTACCAACCCCAAAGCAGCAAAATAGGGAGAAGGATTAGAAGCAACCGCAACTAACCCTAACACTAAACCAATTAATAATAAAGACATAATATAAGTCATAATTCCTGCCAGGACTTTAACCAAGACTAATGGCTTGAAAAACCATCGTTGTTATTCAACTACAAGAACCCTAATGGCAAGCCTCCGAAAAACCCACCCCTTACTAAAAATCGCAAACGACGCACTCGTCGACCTCCCCGCTCCATCAAACATTTCGGTCTGATGAAACTTCGGCTCCCTGCTAGGCCTCTGCCTGGCAACCCAGATCCTCACAGGCTTATTCCTCGCTATACACTATACCTCTGATATCGCAACCGCCTTCTCATCCGTTGCCCACATTTGTCGTGATGTAAACTACGGTTGATTAATTCGAAACATTCATGCTAACGGTGCATCCTTCTTTTTCATCTGCATCTACTTGCATATCGGCCGGGGCTTATATTATGGTTCATACCTCTACAAAGAGACATGAAACATCGGAGTAGTCCTCCTCCTCCTAGTTATAATGACTGCCTTCGTAGGGTACGTCCTTCCCTGAGGACAAATATCCTTTTGAGGCGCAACAGTTATTACTAATCTCCTCTCGGCCGTCCCCTACATCGGCAACACTTTAGTTCAATGAATCTGAGGCGGCTTCTCAGTCGACAATGCCACCCTCACCCGCTTCTTTGCCTTCCATTTCCTATTTCCATTTGTCATCGCTGCCGCCACAGTAATCCATCTACTCTTTCTTCACGAAACAGGATCTAATAACCCCCTGGGACTAAACTCTGACGCCGATAAAATTTCGTTCCACCCCTACTTCTCCTATAAAGACTTGCTCGGGTTCGCAGCTCTCCTCATTGCCCTCACCTCATTAGCCTTATTTTCCCCTAACCTTCTAGGAGACCCCGACAACTTCACCCCTGCCAACCCCTTAGTGACTCCACCCCACATTAAGCCCGAGTGATACTTCCTTTTTGCCTACGCCATTCTCCGCTCTATTCCTAACAAACTAGGAGGGGTATTAGCTCTACTCGCCTCAATTCTTGTACTTATAGTCGTGCCCATCCTTCACACATCAAAACAACGAGGCCTGACCTTCCGCCCCCTCACCCAGCTCCTATTTTGAGCCCTCGTCGCCGACGTCGCCATCCTAACCTGAATTGGAGGTATGCCCGTGGAACATCCATTTGTCATTATTGGACAAGTTGCCTCTTTCTTGTACTTCTTTCTCTTCCTGTTCCTTTCTCCCCTAGCAGGCTGGCTGGAGAACAAGGCCCTCGAATGATCCTGCATTAGTAGCTCAGCGCCAGAGCGCCAGTCTTGTAAACTGGATGCCGGAGGTTAAACTCCTCCCTTTTGCTCAAAGAAGAGGGATTTTAACCCTCACCCCTAGCTCCCAAAGCTAGGATTCTAAACTAAACTATTCTTTGTTGGCGCCTTGTACATGTATGTATATTCACCATACTTTTCTATTAAACATATCAATAATGATTCAGTACATTTATGTCTTATCAACATACATAGGATTTCCCCATTCATTCATCAATTAATCCCGAAAACGTTCATAAACCTGACTTAGTATTATTTTCATTGCTTGTATTGAAGACGGGCGACATTTAAGACTTTGGTAAAAATCTCATTAGTTAAGATATACGTGGACGCACCATCCCGTCAACTCTCAAAATTTTAATGTAGTAAGAGCCTACCATCAGTTGATCTCTTAATGCATACGGTTCTTGAAGGTGAGGGACAACTATTGTGGGGGTTTCACACAGTGAATTATTCCTGGCATTTGGTTCCTACTTCAGGGCCATTACTTGATATTATTCCTCACACTTTCATCGACGCTTACATAAGTTAATGGTGGAATACATACGACTCGTTACCCAACTAGCCGGGCGTTCACTCCATCGGGCATGGGGTTTTTTTTTTTGGTTTCCTTTCACTTGGCATTTCAGAGTGCACACGGTAAAAGTTGACAAGCGTGTACATTTCCTTGCGTGCGAGGAAATAGTATCCATGGTGAAAAGATTTTCTAAAAAGAACCACATTTAAGGATATCAAGTACATAAATAGTGAGAATTACTCCTAAAAATCCTAAGATACCCCCTGGGGGTTTTTACACGTAAACCCCCCTACCCCCCTAAACTCCTAAGATGTCTAACACTCCTGAAAACCCCCCGGAAACAGGAAAACCTCTAGTAGTTTATTTTAAGCCCAAAATGTATCTATTTACACTATTAAAATAATGCGTTT